TCAGATGCGATTCTACAGGGATCATGAACCTGGAAACATAATCTGTTTCACAATATAAGGCCTTGTTGCTTTACATTTGGGTCCAAAAGTCTCCTCCAGCCAAAATGCTTCTGTGTTGCATTTATGATTAGTAACCTTTGAAATAGAGCACAATCTGAAACGTTTCTTCATTAAATCTTCATTGTTTTATCATATGTCATTTTTTTTAACATTTATATGAAGAAAATCTTATATTTTCTATGTGGTTTCAGACTTTTTGACTCATCTGTATGTGGCAGTAACATTACAGTGTTGTGAGTCTTTGTGATATGTGAAATACGACACTATCATCAATTTTATACTCTACAGCATTCATCTTTTTTAACATTTTCTCAGTGTTCATTTTTTTCCCCCCTTAAAATGTAAACATTTCCCATTGAGCAAATGAGGCTCATGATTGCAGTTGAATATTTCATTTTTATTTTTCCTGATTGTTATTATGGTGGTATTTCAAGGAGTAGCTCTTTTTCTGGAGGATCCTAAAGGGTTTCTGAAATCTCCTCAGCGTGATCCGCTAAAACCGTGTCTTATTCCCCTGAGTCCTGTAGTGAGGGGGACACTGCTGGATGCAAACCTGTTTCTAATAAGGAAGAGTTTGTTTCCAGAGACAGGCTCCTTAAGAGTGTGTGAATGCTTTACGTGGATGCTGTTAACTTTTAATGAACTCCATTTCCCCCACAGTGAAGCTTATTAAACCCCACAAATATTAGTCTGCTTGAGACAAAATCAGAAAACTCTACATTTAATGCATTGAATTTATCCTTAATATAAATATATATACAGTGGGTACGGAAAGTATTCAGACCCCCTTAAATTTTTCACTCTTTGTTATATTGCAGCCATTTGCTAAAATCATTTAAGTTAATTTTTTTTCCTCATTAATGTACACACAGCACCCCATATTGACAGAAAAACACAGAATTGTTGACATCTTTGCAGATTTATTAAAAAAGAAAAACTGAAAAATGCTCAGTATTTAGTAGAAGCACCCTCTTGATCTAATACAGCCATGAGTCTTTTTGGGAAAGATGCAACAAGTTTTTCACACATGGATTTGGGGATCCTCTGCCATTCCTCCTTGCAAATCCTCTCCAGTTCTGTCAGGTTGGACGGTAAACGTTGGTGGACAGCCATTTTTAGGTCTCTCCAGAGATGCTCAATTGGGTTTAAGTCAGGGCTCTGGCTGGGCAATTCAAGAACAGTCACAGAGTTGTTGGGAAGCCACTCCTTCGTTATTTTAGCTGTGTGCTTAGGGTCATTGTCTTGTTGGAAGGTAAACCTTCGCCCCAGTCTGAGGTCCTGAGCACTCTGGAGAAGGTTTTCGCCCAGGATATCCCTGTACTTGGCCGCATTCATCTTTCCCTCGATTGCAACCAGTCGTCCTGTCCCTGCAGCTGAAAAACACCCCCACAGCATGATGCTGCCACCACCATGCTTCACTGTTGGGACAGGTGATGAGCAGTGCCTGGTTTTCTCCACACATACCGCTTAGAATTAAGGCCAAAAAGTTCTATCTTGGTCTCATCAGACCAGAGAATCTTATTTCTCACCATCTTGGAGTCCTTCAGGTGTTTTTTTAGCAAACTCCATGCGGGCTTTCATGTGTCTTGCACTGAGGAGAGGCTTCCGTCGGGCCACTCTGCCATAAAGCCCCAACTGGTGGAGGGCTGCAGTGATGGTTGACTTTCTACAACTTTCTCCCATCTCCCGACTGCATCTCTGGAGCTCAAATGTGTGAAATGTTGAAGGTGTCTGAATAAATTTTGGTTTGACTATGTATATATATATATATTAAAATTTATTAATCGTTTTTTTTTTTTGTGCGTTATATTCATATCATATACATATTACTGATGATATATTTATTAAATTATGCATAATTATATTTTATTATATATTTAATGTAATAAATTTTATTTTTATTTTTAAAAATAGATAGCATCGTTTTTGTGTGATTTTATTTATTTTTATTATATTTTTATTGTTTTAAAATGAAGACATACTATTTTTTATTTATTTACAATTTATTTTTTATATATTATGTTTATATATTTGTGTATAGCAGGATTAAGGAATTATATATGAGCAGTATTACCTATAATGTAATAAAATACAGTATATAACATTTTAAAAATAAATACATTTTCATCTTGCCATTTTCTAGCATCTCTAAAGTGGTTTGGAAATTAAGGTGTTGGATTTTGGGTGTGACGCTCTCAGTTCAGTTGCTAGTCTCCGTCCAAACCTGCATTAGTCAAACTTTTCCATGTGAGCTGTTTCTGTTTCATGAAATCATTTATCAACACAAACCAATTCAAGCCTTTAGTCTACAACTAGAGCCGGTTTAATTATTAGTTCTGAATGTTTTATAGATTGTGCAGTATTGATCCGATGAACTTGTAATGTAACCCGAAGAAGAAAAAGATCTCCAAAGCACCATTTAGCTCAACTTAAGAACCTTGTTTACCAAAAAATGGTTCTTTGCTTAAGAACCATTCATCTGGTCAGTTTACCTTATGTGATTTAATCCAACTAACTTTCTCTGATGTGCGTGTATGTTTAATTCCTGCCATGTTGTCCATGTGTTTTGTGGTACACCACCAGACAAGCTTTGCTTAAAAGGCTACATGATCCCCGGCACATCCTGAAATGAACAGGCTTACGGGACCATAAATTTCATTTATTTTCCCTGTGACCTGATTTCTTCTAGCGCTTTGAGAAGCTCTCTGTAGCCCTTATAGACAGGATCCTGTGGGAATAACTGCAGTTTAACCTTTCTTTTCTTGTTTTCATGCTGAGGAAGCGTTTCTGACATGCTAATTTTGTCACAATGTAGTAACCAAAGTCATTTTGTCTTCGTACCATCAACCTAACTTTGTTCTGACTTTGAGGCATTTATGTCACATGATTAATATTTCCGGCAGGATGTACATCACTGTCAGATTCACCTTGAAATTGACCTTTTATTAGCATGCAGTAAATGTGTGATGCTAAACACAAGGCATGTGCCTGATTATAAAGGAGCTTTTTTTTTGACAGAAGCAGGGTGAACTGTACAGCGTTTAGTCTTGACCCCGTTTTAAGGAGCCCGTGGTGGGCTGAGGTTTGACTGGGTCACTGTAATCAGGCAGCAGTCAGGCTTTACTCCAGTGTCATGACTTATGCTCGCTCCTGCTATGTATTTAACCTTCACCTTCTGCTGACGGTTGTTCCTGCATTTTGTAATTTTAGAGAGAAGCTGACAGAAGATGCCAAAGCCGAGACGAGCAAAACGTCAAACGTCCAACCGAAACCAGCAAGCGCTGCTGCGAACCTTGATCCTGACGACCTGTTCGATGATATATGACCCTCTTTAGGGCCTAATGAGCACCGTTTGTGATAAGCATGAGTTTTGAACTGTTTTTAAACTGTTTTTTAGACTTTTTAAAAGTATTTTATAGTAAATATGAACTGGCTCTATAATAAACAATGAAAGTTTAAAAAAGAACACTACTTTTTAATGAAAAGTGAAGCAAAATTATGAATTTGTCCATTTTTAACTCTGTAAGTTGTGAATAAATCTAAAAATGTGAATAAAGATGTTTTTCTCATTCCCTAAGTAGTGATCTTTTGATCTTTTATTTTTTATTTTTATCATTTACTTTACTTGATATGGGGAAAAAACAGCCTCGGCTGAGCTTTTGGTTTTTGCTGGTCTCCTAGCCTCATCAGGCTGCCCTGCTGGTTTTAGTGAGCTCTGGGCTTTTTCTAACTGGCCAGACTTAAACCATATAAGACCAGCAACCCAGTCTAAGCTGGGTTTTGAGGTGAATGAACTCCTAGCACGGGAAATACCCTAGCAACTTCATAGCAACGTGCATGCTTAAACTCTTCAGAAGACATTAATGACTGCTTAGCAACACCCTGGTAACCACTGACAATGCCCTGTCATCAAGACAGGTAAGCACCACGCACATTCTTTAGAAAATTTAAACAAAAATATTTTATATGTGCACTTTCGATTATCTTATATTATTGAGAAACTACATTGAATGTTTGTACTTGAAGATTGATTTGTCACAGGAATGTTAAAATAAACAAAAAAATACTCAAATGTGATTAACAAAAACGATGAACATATGTAAACAATATTTCAGTTTTTATTTTTTGATTAAATAAATGCAGCTTTGATGAACATAAAACGTAAAAAAAAAATTATCTTACCGACCTCACGATAAGTATAAGGATTTAACCTTATATCTTGATTTTGATTTGTAACCTCACACACCGTAATGGCTAAATCAAATGAATGGTGCTGGTTATTTCTAGAGGAGGTAACGGTACCGTCTCTCCCCCGTGTGGAAAGCTCCGGCAAACTCTTGTAAGTGGAGTTGGGCAGTTCCCATCAGTTCACAAGAGTAATTTGGTCACTTTCACACCCCTTAATAACCCAGTAACTCCATCAGCACCTTCTCTGTCTAATTATCAGTGCTCTGTCAGACCGCGCAGTGAGATATGCGCTTTTACGCACGACTCCGCGTAATAGACAAAGAGCTGCCTGATGGTCAACACTGCGAATGTTTCTGTAAAATGAATGCTGATTTCATTTGTGAAGTTGAATCGAAGACTGTCTCTTATTTTAGCATTTACAGGTACGTGCAGTTGGACACTGAACTGGATTTTGCGCGGATATTTTCCACGGTTGTGCGCAACGCATTCATAATAAAGTTAGTAAGCGAAACAACTAATTAACTGGTTTTGAATTACTTATAACCCAACATACTTGTTCAAACTAGTTAGTGATTCAAGGTCCAGTTTGCACCAATTCGAAGAGCGCCGAACATCCCTGTTCCTCTTCAGCAGGATAAATCAGATTCATTTTGGGTGGGCACTTTCTGCCCCTCCTCTGCAAACTGACGAAATCATGGGTGGACATGGAATTTGAACTTGCTGCTGGCTCATGTCTCCAGTCTTTTCGTGGGCACCAAGGGAAGAAAGAGCACCTAGGTCTGCTGCTGGGTTTTGGAGCATCAGAAATATTTGCACTTTTTGTGAAGGATTGCATTTCGAGAATCAGGAATAGCCAAGATTGTCTACAGGAAAAGGTATGTTCTATTCTATTCTATTCTATTCTATTCTACTCAAACAATTATGTCCTAATTGATGAGTGATAAATATTGACTATTATTTCACATTAATCCGCATTAGTCATTTGCTGTGGTTAATATCCATTGCATATTAATTTTACCATGTTCTGCTCAGCATCTTTTGATATTAGAGCAGATTTACTTCAGTGCATCTCTTTTTTTTCTCATTTGATTGTATTGTCAGAGCTTGTCTGTCACCCTGAAGCTTTGTTTGCGTTTGGCATCTTCTCAGTGCAGATCCACTTATCATTTTCTCATCATTATCATTGTAATACCAGCTCTGCATAAATGCTGATAACTGAGAATGTGAGCTTTGGATTAATTTCAGAAAAGATTTTGGATTTCGTTTGGTCTGGTGTGATTGATCTGTCTTCATTAGCGCGCGCGCTCTCTCTCGAGCTGGACATTTTCACGGCGATGTTAATTGTTGGAAAGCGATGCGTGAAGTTTCTTTATATATCGCTCTCTCTAGTGTTTGATAGCGTGTACTATATAGGGCGTGTGTGACTGTCACCACAGCTGTCACAAAATGATCTTTGTGTTTCCGAGGAATGAGTATAGTAGTGCTGTCCAGTATATTAAGATGGAACATGTACATCCTTTTTAACCTCTAATTATGAATGAAGCTTTCATAAACACGTTCTCTATCCGATGGCAAAGCCATATATTGAAATGATAAAGGGAGACAGGAAAGCAAACAGACAGTGGGTGTCTAAAGACCTAGCTGGACCTGGAACAAAGACATGGATGGACATTAAACACAGGCAGTTTGACAGCCGACCCACGTTTAGGAGTAAACTGTAGCTGCAAATGTAAAACGAACTAAACTCACGACTGAATGACTTTTGCCAAATGAAAAGCTTTTATTTTTATTTTTTTACAGAACTGAGATGTTTTTGGACGTTAAGCACATCCTCTGGTTGGTCTGTGTCTGCAGCGCTGCTGTAACCAAAGATGGTAAGTTTTTGAGTGTTTTAAGGCGTTTTTTATTCTTCCTCTTTACAATTATAAACTTCTTTTTTTTCACTTAGACTGTCCAAATCTTTAAAATTGGCATACGCTAGGGATGCAGTGATGTTAATATACTGGATGATAAGCCAGTTATCATTTTCATGTAATGGACAATATCAAAAAATGGAAGATATTCAAATTATCGCCCATATTCTTAAGCCTCTTAAGCCGATAATCACTTTTATGTAATGGCCGATAACAATGGCAAATACAATTTGATACTATTTTTCATTTTAAATGATACAAGTGATTTTAGGCCACAAGTCAAGATAATGTATGATATGAAAAATATTAATATTATTTATATTTACATTTATGGATTTAATGCTTTTATCCAAAGCAATGTACAAAAGAGGAACAACCCAATGTCAGAGTCAACAATTTGTCAAAGATTCAACAATTTATTAAATACATAAATATAGTGTTTTGAGTACTTAAATATTCATTAAAAAAACTATATTATTTATTATAATAGTTGTAGATATAATAATATTATGATAAATATTGATAATATATTTATGATAAATATGTAGTCCACAACAATTTTCATTTCGAGGACGATACTACTACTACTACTACTATAATTAAATGTGCGCTAATATTAAATATTTTTTGGATTTGTTAAAGGGGTCATATGATGCTTTTTTAAAGATCATTATTTTGTGTATTTGGTGTAACAGAATATGTTGACATGCTTTAATGTTCAAAAAACACATTATTTTTCAAATACTGTACATTACTGACACCATGCCTTCTTTCTTTGCGTGCACATTTGCGGCGGGATTATGCAAATATTTCCACATAGTGGGGTAGATATGTGGGGGCGTGTTAGAATGAGCCGTTTTAGGGGGGCGTGGCAGAGTCTTAACTTTGATAAAGAATATCTCTTTGTTTTTGAGACTTTAGTCTTTGCAACTTCAGGGATCTTATCTATGCACAATCAGCTTGTAACACTCCAAAGAGAAAGGAAAACTTGAAATCGCATCATATGACCCCTTTAAAGCTTAGACTTTTTGGTGTTATTAAAATATGTGTTTTTAAAGATTGACATTGAGTAAGTGCTACATGATGACAAAAGTAAGGGAACTTAAAATCAGGAGAAATGAGCATGTACAATATTTAAAATCAACTAATACAATGGTATATTAAAAAAATCTGTAATATTGGCCAGTAACCGATATGATACCGATATATCATGCATCCCTAGCAATCACTGTAAAAAATTAGAATATTAAAGTATTAAAAGAATTTTAACTTAAGTTAACATTTCAGTCATTTTTATATATATTTCTTTATAGTTTTCATTCGGTTTTAGGGTTAGTTTTAGTTATTTTACTTAAAGGGGTCATATGATGCGATTTCAATTTTTCCTTTCTCTTTGGAGTGTTACAAGCTCTTGGTGCATAAAGAAGATCTGTAAAGTTGCAAAGACTAAAGTCTCAAATCCAAAGAGATATTCTTTATAAAAGTTAAGAGTCAGCCACGCCTACCTAAAACGGCTCGTTCTAACACGCCCCCACATACCTACGTCACGATCTCGGAAGATTTGCATAACGCCGCCCAAACGTTCACGCAAAGAAAGAAGGCGTAACTTATATTCTCGCTGTAGTATTGTTGTTGCCGCCGCCACCATGTAGGTATTCGGCCAATCACAACGCATTGGATAGCTGGCCAATCACAGCTCACCTCGCTTTTTCAGACCGATGAGTTTTGTAAAAATCGACGCGTTTCAGAAAGGCGGGGCATAGAGGAGAAACAATAATGTACAGTATGTGGAAAATAATGTTTTTTGAACCTTAAACCACATAAACACATTTCATTACACCAAATACACAAAATAATGTTCTTTTTAGCAACATCATATGACCGCTTTAAACTTGTTTTTATTTAAAAAAAATTTGTTTAGTTTGTTTTATTTTCTAAGTTTTATATTTTATTTTATTTCAGTTCATGTTTATTTTATTTCAAGTATTTTTTTTCAGTGGTTTTAGTTAATGATAATAACCCTGGTCTGCTATAAGTGACTACATAATATGAAACACATACATAATATGAAACTGTTATGTTTCTTTTAATATTGTAGTTAAGCAGTATGGTTAAAATATTCAGTCTCAATGGAAGCAGAACATTTGAGTGTTGTTTCAAAGCTTCCAGCCGATGATATGCTGTGTCTGCTCTTGGGTTCCTCTCCTCCATCTGCTTCTTGTTTGCAGACTCTGCTCGTAGGATGAAGGTGGAGAGGAGTTCTCCGGTGCAAGGCTCGCTGGCGGAGCAGGTGGTCCTGCCCTGCCATTTCTCCATCCTCCCACCTCCTACCGGCAGCACCAGCACCTCCACCACTGCAGCTGCGGCCATGGCCTCCAGCACCCACCTGGACCATCTCCGCATCAAGTGGACTAAACTCGTGGGCGATGAGGAAATCGTAGTGATAGTGACCCAGAATGGGTTCCTCAAGATTGGGCCGGAGTTTAAAGGCAGGGTATCAGTTCCCAGCCACCCCGAGGACGAGGGCGACGCGTCTCTGACCATAGTAAGGCTCAGGGCCAGTGATGCGGGTGTTTACCGCTGCGAGGTCATGCACGGCATTGAAGACACTCAAGAGTCCGTCTCCCTGAATGTCAATGGTCAGTCATTCTCTATGCAAATTATGAAAGCCATACATGTTTCTGGTTGAATTAATTATATGTTCTCTATTGACTTTCCTCCAACTGCCAGTCTATTTTGTTACAGAACGGCCACTTTTCAGGATCTGGGTTTCATCCATAAATAAAACTGGTTTAAAAAAGGCTATAATGTAGGATATAAAAATAATCAAATTATTTGTTGAATGTATAACTGAGTAAAAAAAAAAAAAATCATAATTAATATAAAATACAATATTATTTAAAAAATATTATAATTAATAATTCATTAATATGAAATATTAATTTTAAGATTAGCTAAAGGTTAGATTTGTTATTTTATATATTTATATATAATTATATTTTTAGATTTATAGATGTTATTAAATTATTAGTGTTTTTTTTTAAATAGACAACAAAGGTAATCTAAATGTAGAAATAGGGGAAATTAGCATGACAAAATTAATAGTTTAATTATAATATTATAATAAAATATTCATTAATAAGTACTGAATATTATAATTAAATATTCACTAATATTAATATTATTTCAATGCTTTAATGTTAAGTGAGCCCACTTTTTTATGATCCAGTGAAGTTCGGCCCTACATTTGTCTCACGTTCATCCGGAAATATAATATATAGTTATATTGTCTTTAAATATTAGACTACAAGGTTAATCTAAATTTTTAAATAGAGGTAATGAGCATGCAAAATTAAATATTTTGACTATAATCATGTTATAATTAAATATTAATTAAATCTTTAAAAATGGTGTAATTAAATATTAGGTAATATTATTTTAAGATTTTATCTTTAAGTGAGGTCAATTTTCATGATCCAGTTAAATCCTGGCCTAAATTTTTCCTGCATTTCATCTGGAAATACATCATGTTATGAAGTAAAATGGGTTGCGAAGTAATATACGATATGAAAATATTAATACTATTTATTAAAGTGAAATTGTGATTTTGTAAATATTATAATTAAATATGAATTTATATTAAATATTCATTTTGATATATGCAAATTATTAGATTTATCATTTTAGATATATAAAATTATATTTTTAGATTTATCAGTGTTATTAAATTATTATTGTTTTTCAAGATTAGACTACAAAGGTGATCTAAACTTAAAATAGGGAAAATGAGCATGCAAAATTTATGTAATTATTCTTTACCCTAATATATACCATATATATTTTCTCATATATTTGCTCAGAAATATGTCACGTTGCGAAGTAAAATGGTGTTTCTTTAACTTCCTTCAGCAGGATTCCCATTGGCAAAGTTGTTCAGCAATGGCTCTCAGATGTGCTGCACTCTTTTACTCTCGTAAGCATATGTGATGATGTAATTAGTCATCGCTAGCCAAAATGGAACGGCGTTCCTGTCAGGAGACAAGGGGGAAAGATTATTTTGCTTTAGAGTCTGGAAAAATCACTTTCAGAGTCTGGATTTCCCTCGAATCTTGACAAGGCCCTATTGTGTTTCTAAGTAATAGAAAAGAAGGGTGAATGATTTGTGTTTTAATCAATACAAGAACATGTTAAAACTTTTTTTGGTTCCTTGAATGACTGCATTATGAACGAATGTCTTAAGAAATCGTTCAAGCCAAAAAGGTTCCTAACATTATTCATGCAATAACTTAACTTGTATTAAAGCTGAAACATTTAGAAAGAGTCAAAGAAACTGTGCTAAAAATCTTGTTAGGTGACAAACAACACTGTATTTGTTTACAGCATGATTATGTGCAGTAAAACATGAGCACATCTGGCTCAGATGAGACGGTGGTGTTGGAGTGTTTGTAGGCCCAGAGAGAGCCATGTGCCTTCCTGCCAAATACACTCAATGCCCTCTTTTGGGCCCTGGGCAGCACTGATTGCCACTCAAGGGTAGCACCTACCCAAAAAACACACTGCCATCCCTCTGAGGAAAGAGCATTCAGAACCTGACTCGTCAGCCAGCAGCTCTGCTAATGCACCAAAAAAAGACTAGAAAAACCCATAAAAGGACAAATAACAGTCAGACTGCATGGCCTCTTCTGAGACGTATTAGTAGTGTTTGCTAAAGCAAATATCAGTAGTACTATTACTCATGTGCTGAAGTATTAAATTCAACATGTAACTCAGCATGTTTGAGCTAGGCAGCTATGAAACTCAACTTATGTTGTTTGTCTAAGTGAAAAACAGTGAACAGATACCTGTGATTTAGGAACCAGAAGTGCTTTTTTTTTTAATTGTTACATTTATTTCTCATTTTATTTTTTTTAAAATGAATGTTTTTTTTTACATTTTATTTTTCATTTGCAAACATTCTTCTAAAAGTTGCATCCATAAATTCATCCACTTTCTAAGTCTAAGTGAAAAAGGGTAAACTAATTAGGAACTAGAATTTATTTTTTTATTCTTAATTCTTAATTTTTTTTTTATTGTATATATATTATTATATACTATATATATATATTTTTTTTTTTTCTTCTTTTTTCTCATTATTTAGCTGTTAGACATTTTGCACAGTAAAAGCCTCTTGGAAAATTGTATTTTATTTTATAAATTTATTCTATTCTATTCTATTCTTTATCCTTTCTTGGAAAAGTTACATCCATAAATTCATTCTCTTTTATTCATACACATGCAGATGGATGTCTTTGGCCATTGCATTATGCATTGTTTTTTCTTTTTCTTTCTTTCAATCTGCCATAAGCATAGTGTTTTAAAGATGTTTTGTCTAGTTCAAAATAGTTCAAAGTATTTCAAAAATCTATTTTTAAGTGGCTGTTACGTCAGATAATTGCCTTGTGTAAGTTCAGAGCACCATTTAGGTATACTGTGGGAAATTAGTTCAAATAAGTGTATAAAGAGTGGAGCGATAAGAGCAGTTTTGAATCTTTGGTGCTGTGTAATGCTGTGAGAGCGATTACTATTCAGATCATGTTCAGTATTTGACACAACAGGTATCTAAATAGCTGAACAATACAATGATTCTTCATTTCTGCCAGACAACAGCTTGTTGTTGTGGCTGAAACTTCCAATGTTCAGAACAAAAGCCGCCTTCTTTGAATCTAGGGATTCCTCAAAATAGCAGCCCATTTGATCCCATTTGTTGTTAGATGAAATCAAATATATCATGACCACATGACCACCTGACTGGAAAGAAAATCAAATTGTTGAAAATATAAATTTGGGGTTGGTTGGATTTTTATAATTTTTAATGTTTTTGAAAGAAGTCTCTTATGCTCACCAAGGCTCATTGATTTGATCAAGAATAAAGTAAATACAGTAATATTGTGAAATATTACTACCATTTAAGATAACTGTTTTTAGTTGAATATATTTTAAAATATTCCTGTAATTCCTGAATTTTTAGCATGATTACTCCAGTCTTCAGTGACACGTTATCCTTCAGAAATCATTCTAATATGCTGATTTGCTGCTCATGAAACATTTATTATTATTATCAGTGTTAAATGTCTTTACTGTCACTTTAGATCAATGTAATAAGTCCTTAATGAGTAAAAGTATTAATTTCTTTCAAAAACGTCAAAAATCTTACTGACTTCAAACTTTTGAATGCTAGTGTAGATGGTGGTCTTGTCAGGTATGCAAAAATATATGAGTGTATCACAAAACAAAACCTCAAAATTGCTATATAAGATTTGATCAGATCAGTTAGTTGTTTACCTTTGGGTCATGAGCTTGATTTTTGTTGTCTCACAGGTGTTGTGTTTCATTACCGTGCCAACACCAGTCGCTACACTCTAGATTTCCAGCACGCCAAGCAGGCCTGCACTGATGTGGACGCGACCATCGCCACCGCAGAGCAGCTTCATTCAGCCTACGAGGACGGATTCGACCAGTGCGATGCCGGATGGCTGGCCGACCAAACCGTCAGGTGATTTCTTCAGCTCCAGACTCAAATCTATGAAATCATGCTATCTACATTTGAATATGACTGATATGAGAAGTACATCTGGGGTTGTTCTCCACAGATACCCCATAACAATGCCACGTGAAGGTTGCCATGGCGATATGATAATGAGGCCAGGAGTCAGATCATACGGACTCCGAAATTCCTCCGAAACGTATGATGTGTACTGCTATGCAGGAAAACTACAGGGTATGTTTAGAAATGAGCTACCGAGGGAATGGGTTTCTCTTCACGTGAAACACACGAGAGACTCACGCTGTGTTCACGTTGTGTCAGAATTACTGTAATTATGAGATGACAGTTTGGAAAGGCTGCTCTGAGCTGATTACATCCTCACTCACAAATTAATTGTTACTATGGCAACGTCGAAATAGATTTTTTTTTATTTTTTCTTCATTGCAGTAATGAGAATTTGGAGGGAAAATCCAGTCTTAATGAAAAAAATCTTAATGTCCAATCCATGTTTGGTTTTATTGGTGAGCGATAATTTACTGTATTCTCTTGAAAAAGGTAATAAAAAAAATCTAAAACTTATTGGGTGAATCTCACAGAAATGGTTATGATATTATAATATAAAATATTTTTTTCAAAAATTAAAATATAACAAACATTACTATAATGTAAAAATACTTTTATTGTTTTATTTAAATAATATAATTATTTAATCAGATTTTTCACAATATAAAATAGTTCGGTAACACTTTATTTTAAGGTGTCCTTGTTACACATGTTACATGTACTTACTATTATAATAACATTTAATTATGCATAATTACATTCAACTAACCCTAAACCAAACCCTAATCCTAATCCTAACCATATAGTAAGCACATGTAGTTAATTAATATTACTCAGTACTAAAGTGTATAATTACACTGCAACAAGGACACCTTAAAATAAAGTGTAACCAATACTTCTTTTTTTAATTACAGTACTGAGAATCTGGAGGGGAAATTGAAATTAAATAGATCCATGTGTGGCTTTATTGGTGATAGCAATCTAAATTAATCGCATCAGTAATTTACTTCTATATTCTGTTGCAAAATGTATTGATAAAGCAAATCCTAAAACTTACTATGTCACCCCAACATATATATATATATATATATACATACACACACACACACGCACACACAGAAATACATTTTATGCACAAATACTTGATAAAATAGTTACCTTTTGAGTAAATGGACTATTTCATTTTTAGTATATAGTTCTCTTTTAGTAGAAGTGCATTGTGGGATTTCCTTATTTGTTAAGAATGTGCAATGCACAAAAGGTGATGTGTTATTGTGTGTGTTTAATCTCAGGCAAGGTGTTTTTCGCTGGTGCTGAGATGACTCTAGATGAGGCCAGGGAGGAGTGCGAGAGACGGGATGCAGTTTTAGCGTCTCCAGGTCACCTGCATGCAGCCTGGAGGACCGGCTTGGACCGCTGTGACTTCGGCTGGCTGTCTGACGGCAGCGCTCGCTACCCCATCTCTGTACCCAGAATGCAGTGCGGCAGAGGACAGCTGGGTGTGAGGACTATGTACCGCTTCCTCAATCAGACCGGATTTCCTTTACCGAGCGAGAAGCTGGGAGCTTTCTGTTTCAAAGGTACGTCTTCATGAAATGCTCATGACAAAAAACTAATCCTTAAAACTTACCGGGTGAATCTCACAGAAACTTCACAATCAAAAGAAGAAACGAAGAAATGATTAATTCACATTTATATCAGCATAATATATAAATACATATCAGCAATATTTATAAAATAAACAAAAAGTTTTGTATATTTTCATTAATTTTAAAGAAAATTAAGCCTGTTTTTAGGACCATTAGGCAAGAAATATTACCAATACTTTTTTTAAACAATTTTATTTTTAATAATATCATATATTAATATTATCAAAATTTAAACCCCTTTTTACAAACAACTCATGTTGATCAAAGGCCTAATAAAATTAATAAAACTAACAAAATATATATACGTGTGTGTGCATGTATATATGATAGGTTGTTTGTTTATAAATATAATCATATTTTTATTATTATTTAAATAATATAGTATACCTATATATTAATAATATCATAAATTAATAACATAAATTATAGCACATTTCACAAACAATTGATGTTGATCAAAGGGCTTTACACATTAAAAACAAACAAATATCCTTTTATTTTATTTCAGAAATATATATACCGTACTTAATCTTTTTTCCCCACAATAATTATTATTTTTTTATTCAGTAAGGAGCATTTAGAGGGAAAATGTCACAATTTGAAGAAGAAAAAAATTACAAGCTGGTCCTAAAAAATATTACTTTTATATTTTTATTAAAATAGAAATATAAAATTTTTATTATAATATCATAAATTAATAACATAAATTATAGCACATTTCACAAACAATTGATGTTGATCAAAGGGCTTTACACATTAAAAACAAACAAATATCCTTTTATTTTATTTCAGAAATATATATACCGTACTTAATCTTTTTTCCCCACAATAATTATTATTTTTTTATTCAGTAAGGAGCATTTAGAGGGAAAATGTCACAATTTGAAGAAGAAAAAAATTACAAGCTGGTCCTAAAAAATATTACTTTTATATTTTTATTAAAATAGAAATATAAAATTTTTATTTTTATTAAAATAAAAAGAAATAAAGAAATAAAGAAATTCCATATTATTTTATGGAAGCATCTCATTTCTTTCTATGAATTTTGAGATGAAATATAACACAGACATGTTCTTTGACAGGGTTCGAGAGATTCACGCAACTCTCCGTTGGTGCATGTTTCTCATGATATTGTTTTGCAGATAAGGAGGCGTCTGTTTTGCTGTGATATCATAAAAGCTGTGACTCCGAGCGGACCTTTCCTCTCTCTGCTAGCTGGGTGGAAGCAGAATAATTCGTTCTCTCCAGGGCGTCCTCAGATTTCATCTGTTAAACCTCTGTCCTACGTCTAGCTCAAATATGTGCCTTAAAATGGCAAACTAACTGACCTGTTTTCAGGTCAATTCCGCTGCCCACAACGACTACAGCCTTTGAACCCCGTAACTGTCCTGCTGGGGGTTGTTGAAACTCTCCGTCTGTGCAACCTCAGTCGTCACTCGAGAGGGAAAATGGAAACAGGCCACACAAAAACAGCGCTTAACATGCATTTAATCCGATTTTACATGGGGTATCTCCTTTTCGCCCCCTACCTCCAGGGATTTTGTGGCTTTCCTGTTAGCCGTGGCTTGTTTCATGTAACCGGTCTTGAAGCACTTCTCTTAAATGGGCTTCTACCGCAGAGTACCGCAAAACAAACAAAAGCACTCTGGGTAGGCCAGAAAAGAGCGTGGAGGGCAAGAGCGCCCCACTATAATATATAAACAAGCGCTAGAGGGGGGATGTGGCTTCCTTTTGTGCTGTTTCAAGATCACTGGGGTTTTATAAGGGAAAAAGATGCCTGATGTTTTACATCAGAGGCGCTGCATAGAAAAGAGGGCACATCCCTAACGTCTAACAGCTGGCTTTGTGTGTCCACACACTGAGAAGCAGTGAGATACCCTTGTCATTAGCAAATGTGGGAGGCTTTTGTCATCATTCAATCATTTAATCACCCGTATGTATTTATCTTCTTACTATATGTTGTTGAATCCTGATTATGTCATGTTGTCGTAGTATTCAGGTATTTTATATTCTGTTAGCCTGGTCATGATGTATGCAGGCTTACAGAAAGATGAAGATAGATCCACATTTGAAGAGACTGAAGGCAGCAGAAATGGGTGTGGGCCTTTGTCTGCACACAACACTCTGCATAACTTTTGCATTATGCGTCTGAAATGCTGCTGGTGTAAAAACGGATTCAAAAGAACATAAATTGTCAAATGCGGTAAATGCGGAAAGGACAACAATTGTTGGTTAGTACTGAAAACAAGCATTTTGTTGCATAAGTCAGACCAAATTGTCAGTGAAATGCTTCTAAGAACATGCAATAGATAGAAATCAGTGTAGATTTTTTTTTCTCAATAGTACATTGTACATTCAACATATTAAACAGACATATACTATAATTTAAAAGTTTGGGGGTCAGTAAGATTTTGTAATGTTTTTGAAAGAGGTCTCTTCTGCTCACCAAGGCTGCATTTATTTAATAAAAATAAAAAAATACAGTTAAAACAGTAATATTGTAAAATATGATTAGAATTTCGAATGACTGTTTTCTATTTAAATATATTTTAAAATATAATTTATTTCTGTAATGACAGGTGAAGTTTCAGCATCATTACTCCAATCTTCAGTGTCACGTGATCCTTCAGAAATCATTCTAATAGGCTGATTTGCTGCTCAAGAAACATTTCTTATTATTATCAATCCTGCTTAATTTTTTGTGGAAACCGTGATACATATTTTTCAGGATTCTGTGAATAGAATGTTCAAAAGAACAGCATTTATTTAAAATAGAAATCTCTTGTAACAATAGAAATGTCTTTACTGTCACTTTTAATAAATTTTATGCCTCCTTGCTGAATAAAAGTATCAATTTATTTTAAAAAATTACTGATCCCAAACTTTTGAACAGCAGTGTATGTCTATCTCTCCCAGCCTCATTTTTATTAGTGAAAAATTAAAAATGGCATCTAGCCTGGTCTTATAAGGTCACATGCTGCTGTCATTAAAGGAAAAGGAGCAACACTACATATTAAGACATCCTGAAATCCATGTATATTTTTTTTAATTCAGCAAAATAGAAGCCTTTTCACTTGTACTTTCAGACTTTTGGACCTCCTCTCTATTCCCCTGCATGCAGCCAGATGGGTGACTGCCATACATGTCAAACTTTTTTTTACCGTCTGAGTCAAACCTTTGGAGGTTTGCCAATACGTCATAAGCACAGCAGCTATATGTGTATGAACAGACAAGAGTGAACATTATAGTGTCGTTAACTTGGCTATTTCGAGTTTTTATATAGGTCAGTGAAAGTGCGTCAGAGTTAGCATGCACGTAGACAGCAGTGTTAGGGTTTGATTTATCGATTGTGAGAATGAGATGACGTTGGCGTTACATTATGAAACATTCCAAGTGCACTTATTCAGGACTATTTACCTACCGGTCGGAGTCGAAATATGTGGTTAGGCAAAATGCAACCTAGCCAAAAATGTTCTGGAAAGGAAGCTAAAATTTCAAAATAAATATAAACTGTCAAGTTCTACCCTGTCATAGTGTGTCATTTTCCCAAAATAACTCTTTACCAGCCAAAAAAATCCTCAATACTTAGGCAATTCTGCTGTTATTGGCATTTTGTAGAAATATCTTGACTTTGCTGCCAGGAATTGCATTTATTGCACTTACTTGGTCAATATTAATAGACTGAGGGCTGTGTCTTATTTGGGATAAAACTGCAAAAGTATTCTACAGTGCTCACCTCAATATCACCTAATAAAGGTGTCATAGTTTCATCTATTACTATTTTATGTATGGAGACATATATACTGTTTATAGGTTGACAATGTGGCACTTTTGACATTTCTCTTTTTGTTTGAGCAGTCTGATTTGTCAGCTGTTGTCAGTAAATTGTATGAATACAGGTCAGACGAGCTGAACAACTGAAGCCGTTTACAATTGAAAACCATTATTTTTTTAATTTCATTTTGTGCCACTAGGGGCAGCAAAGCTACGCATTTCATCTTAAGAAGTATTTGAGAAAGGCTTGGTCAAAATGAGATCTTTCCTTTTCTCTCTGTTCTCAGGATGGGATCCCACAACTGTACCCACAGCTGGACCTACAACACCTCCAGTTCTCTCAGACACCCATCAAATCTCTTCTCTTAAAGCAATCTCTTCTATGCCAGCCCATGGCACCACAGAAGATTCACCATCCATGTTCTCTGCGAGCATGGCTCCACGCGACAGAGGCTCTCCTGAAGTGCATCCCTCTGCTAAAGCCATTGTTGTTGTACCAACTGAAGCTAAGATAATTTCGGAGATGGAAACCACAACCACATTTAATGACTATGGCAGCTCTTTGGACAAAGACAGCTCCTTGGTGCAAGGGATACCCCATGATGGTATGCCCCATTATTCAGATTCCTTCTTATTTTTCCAGCTACCCCGTCAGCCCGACACAGAGAACATGCATCCTGGGTTGGATACTCCGCATGGGGAATCCAGTGGTGCGGAAGGTAGCAGCAGGTCTGACACGGATACTCCTGAGAGTGTGATTCCTGCTTCACCTGTGTTTGTTATAGACTCGCAAGGAGATCCAGACAAGCCACAAATTGTGTACAAAGATAATAAAACCACAGCAAACATGACTGAAGAAAGTCTGGACTTGTCCACTTTGAAAAGCTCACTTTTAAGTGAAGAGAACTTGCAAGGCCAGCAGAACGAAACCACAAAGGACGTCAACTTTCCAATGGGCATCAATTTGTTCATATACAACATTAACAACATTACGCAGAGAAATCAATCAGGTAGGTCAGATGGAAGTTCAATTTTACCAGAGCAAGACAGTATACAAAGATATAATACATTGACTTTTTGCTCACATGAACCAGTTTTGCTTGTCCTTTCATGTTTTGGTGTGGCAGTGTTTTTCTGTGATTGTTGCTTGTCCAAAGCAGCATGTTGTAAATGAGTGACTTGGTTTAGGAAACACTGAGATGCAAAATGAATGTAGATCTTGGCTAAAGAGAGGCCACATTTGGCTCTGTCAAGATGTCTGCTGCTGTTTTGCAAACAAAAGGTTTGGACTTGGTTCTTCGATTTCATGCAATTGCTTTAATATTTGGTTTGTGCCAAATCTTTACCTCATCCAGAAGCATAGCTAAACTAGTGGTGCTGCCTATATGCATAAAAAGGAGAAGAGAGAAGAGAAAAAGATCTTCCATGCCTTCCCATGACCTTAATTGACTTCCCGTGTTGCTGGAAAGAGTGATGAGGTTGATAAACATCTGTAAATAGACTGCAGCCAGTGTTCCTGTCTTGTAGGTCCTGTGGGTCGACATTAATCAGTTGACCCACTTATACCATTTGGTACTGTCAAAGGGGCACCTACTATAGTAAAACATCAGGGAGAGACAGAGGTGTTGAGTGTGAGAAAGAGTAGCTCTCAAAGCCACAGACAAATGCCTCCTGGGTCAAATGGCAAAGCCCCTTAAAATAATCAGCGAAGTAATCACTGCAAGCTAATTACTTTTCCTTACCTCGTCCAGTCTATAGATCAGGTTACCATGTGTGGCTGCTAGTGGGTCCACCGAAGGAAAAGTATATTTTGTTATGCATGTTATTGAGGCCTTGAGGATGTAGTAAAATTTCTGGCTATATTTCACACATTTTAACTGCGTAATGTAACAGTAGCTGGAATGACTTTGTTTAATTTTGAACTATTTAAAAATGAAAAGGGTCTTGTAATTTTGCAATATAGTGACTTTAGGGTCTCACAGGGGACATATCACTGAATATAATTTATAATAAGCTTTTCGCTGTATATAAGTAGAGCCATTACTTATGTAGAAACAATAATCAGTAATATCTTTCTTGACCCGCCAAAATCATAACTGATGTGAGCATTTTATTTGCCTCAAGTGAGACTCTAGCCATTAAGTGGAATATATATGCAGTGCTAGTTTCTAAGATGTCTATAAAGTTATTTGACAAAAGTCCCCCATGACTGGAATTGAAAACCAGTGACTTAGGTGTGTGTGTAATGTATTTTAACTATTTGTTTGCAGGTGATGCTTTTGATACTGTGGGAGTTGATGCTATTCTGAAATTCCTTGGAGAACCAGGGCTCTCTAATCCACTTCTAACATCTGTTGAAAGTGAGCCACCTTTGGGCAGTGGAGACATTACAGGTGAAACATATCCATCAGCTTCTGTTACCATCACCCCAAAAGTGAGTTTCATTAACGGAAAGCACGAGCTGACTCTGAAACCGGACACTGACCAAACTCAGGAGGCTAGAGGAGACCAGTTTGACACTGCTATCCCACCAACAGAAGAAACCATCCCTGATGATATGATAGAAATACTTACAGAGGAGGCTGAAGGCACCACATCTTCCCCTGAGACAGATGAATCTGACTCACCGACCAGAAGCCCAATTGAGCCCCATTTCACAACAAAGAGCCTGGAAAGTATAACCAAGACAGAGTTGCCCACATTTGCAACCAAATCCTCAAGCCAGGAGATGACCCCACAAGCCATATCATTTACCATGCACGAAGAAGGTTCAGGGATGCACACAACAGATGATGAAGAGGAATTGACCCCCTTGGAAGGTTCTGCGGATGACACACTTCCAACAACTAATGACCTATATGTGGTGGCTACCGACGAGACTGAAATAGCTGAAACAGAGAAGACTACACTGGCATTTGGGGTGGACTGCAGTACCAAAGGACCAATTGTTACAACTCCAGAATCCAGCACTGTCGAAATGAAGAGAACCGAGAACACAGAAACAAAACCAGAAACAGAAGATTTTGAGGGCTCAACCTCCACTGAAGACGAGGGCTCGGGGCAAGATATATATGCAACAGAAGAATCAAAACAACCAACTTTATCTCCATCTTTCACTGTTTCATCTCACAGCTTTACAAGTTCCTTAACAACTACTCATCCCAAAGAGCCTAGGCAACCTGTTAGTTTGGCTTTGCCCAGTACAGATCCTACGATTCAGGTGGTTTCAACTTTTCAAACTGAGGCAATCCCAGAAGAAAGCACTCCTAACATTACACACTCTGAGAAAGACCAAAACAGAAGTACAGTTAAGAATCCTTTATTGGTGCCCGAGATTGAAAAAGACGTAAGTGCAATCTTCACCATCTCTGAGGACATCGGCTCTGGTGATCAGCTAACTGAAGCATTCTCTAAACAACCTTTCACTGCAACTACTGTTCCATCCCTTCTCATTAAACAAACTGAAGAAATGAGTGTTGATGCACATGATGAAACAACTAAAGTATTTGAAGGTTCTGCAGAAGACACAACACCACTGATTTTCACTAATGTCCAAACTCAAAAAAAATTCACAACCCAAAGTTCAGAGACCACCATTCTGCCCACTGATAGTCTTAGAGCAGTAATGTCTTCCTCCCAAGAAACTGTTCTAATCAAAAAATCACCATCAGAAGAGACAACCACCTCAGTGCAGTCATCAGAGACTTCAGAGGAGACAACGCAAGAAATATCACTTTCTACATTTGGATTCCCAACGGAGAAGCCTCTCACCTCATTTACCCAAGTTTCCAGTTATCCCACCACCAGTGTTGTTACCAACTTAAATGTGAAAGAGCCAGTTCAGGTCTTGGATAGGGGAACTACTTCTGCTACAGAAGACGTTTTCACCACCCCCAAAGCCACAAGTACTGTGATATTTGAAGAGAATGTTGTAGATTTTGAAGATGTGGCGGGTCCCTCAATTGTTCAAAGACAACCATCACCCAGAGAAGAGTTCACCACAAGAAAACCAGAAGTCTGGACAGATTCCAGCTACACTGTTGAGAGCCATATGGAGGTTTTGCAAGGTACAGTTCCAAATATTTTTGTAACTCATACAGTATATTGCTTAAAGTGGTATAAATGTTATTAAAATTGTTCCTCTCTTGAGGTTTACAAAATTTTTTAGTCCACTCCATTTGTAGTCCACTTATCCATAATGGATTTGTCCATCCACTAATAGATGTTACTTTGATATTTCAGGTCTCACACTTTGCTCTGTCAGTGTGTGTGAAAATGGCGGAACTTGCTATTCTAATGGAAAAGGAAACATATGTGTCTGCATTCCTGGATTCAGTGGGGAACATTGTGAAAATGGTTTGAGGCCTTTAATATTTTAACTTTTGATGAACACGATTAAAGTTTCTGAGTAAAGTAAGACATTTTCATGTCCTAATTCCTGCAGAAATTGACGAATGCCAGTCAAACCCTTGTCGCAATGGTGGTACATGCATTGACGGGTTAAACGCTTTCAGTTGTGTCTGTCTGCCCAGCTATTCAGGAGCCCTCTGTGAGCAAGGTATGAAATCAACACTGACATGGTGCTATACAATTTTTTTAATTGGGGTAATATATGAAGTTCTTGAAGGAATATTTTTGGTTTTTTTTGCAATTAAATGTGGACTGTGGCATGCTAGCAAGTTGCTAAGCAATTCTATCATATCACTTTCATGCTAACACATAATGTCTATTGTAACTTATGGTTTATTTTTCAAATGTTGTAATGATTGCATATTTTAAACATTTGTCTGCCTGACTGATTGCTATGTTTCCATTGTAAGTGGAATAAAATATAACTCCTAAGTTAATGGTAGGAGCTGTTGGATGGAATATGTTATGATTTAGGGTGCTAGTTTCTAAATAGTGAGCAATGGCTGTTTAATAAATCCACTGAAGCAAACGGTATACAGTATGGTGGTCAGTCAGTCCAAACTGTTAGCATGGGCAAACCAAACCACAAATTTCACCACATCTGTCAGGCCTGATTCTCCAGAGGGTGTGCGGTATGGTGTCCAGAGGAATGAAAGTGGATTTGTGCCAACAATAATGTTCAGAGAAAAGGTCACACAGTCAGCGACTGTAATGCCTCTTCCCTTACACCCACCACACTTCTCACAAATGCTGAGCAATTCGATGAGCCATTGCTGAGCCAACTGACTTAACTGGCATGGTCCCAGGAACATCAGTGAGGCTCCGTAAACGATGAGTGCATTTTGCTTCAGTTGCCTCGTCATACTCATCCAGGCATGACTTGAGTAGGTCCCATATTTAGGTTGTGACTTTTAGAAGACTTCAGAAACTAATTAAAGCCAGCATGAAATGACGTTTGCAACACACTGAACTTCCGTAATGTGCATATTTCAGTGGAATATTCAGCAGAAAATTATATAGGCTAGTACTTTTTGTGTCCAATGAGATTTGAGTTGAAATTGGGTTGAAATTGACATGTCAGGCTATGATATTATTAGGAGTGCTTGCTAAGGCAATAGCAATAGACTGGCTTAGATCTACAGTGAAGTCATACTTAGAGACCAGGAGCTGGCTGTATAAACTACTTAGATTAGTCTTACAATTTAGTATAATTTTTTTTTTTCTGTAAGACTGGTCATATCTTTTTTTTTCCTTTTACAAAAAAAAAAAAAAGTTACATGAAATGGCAGATTGGTATAATTTGAATATGAAAAGTAAGACTGATTATCATTTGGTGAACTGCTAGTTGGTCAGATTAGTGCTTCTTGAGAGACAGTCTTAACATTGTGGCCTTTGTTAATGCAACTGGTCCCAAAATATCTTAGAGACATGGGAGTGGATCTAATAAGCAATCTCTTAGAATACCCTAGCAACCACCTAAAATACCCTAGCAACCACAAAGCAACCACAAAGCATAGCCAGACCTTCAGAGTGACAGCAGAAGGTCTGGGAACCTTGGCCGCTTTAAATGGCCAAGTACCGGCCAAGTACCGCCCAAGATGTCATATGACTGACAGGTAAAGCAACCAATCACGTTTCGGTTTGTGCCGCATCATTTTTAGGGGCGTGGAAATGTCCCCACAATAACAGACCATGTGTAAAACTCTTGTATGTATTTTAAAGAGTCTATGCCGCAAACTTTACATATTTCACATACTTTTGAAAATCCAACGTTTAGGTGATCCTGATAGGCGCTCATTGTCACAGTTGTAAACACGACAGCTTTCTTTTTTCGTGGGGGGGTTTGGCGTCACGGCATCTTTGTTTCCAGGTGGAACATTAAAGAATGCGACACACATCTCCTGGAAATCCTGTAGAATTCAACCAATCAGATGACAACTTTGAAACTCCCCAATTTTGTGTACCATATGCATCAGACGTTCAGCCAATGGTCCGTGGGCGTGACGTCTGAGGCTGAGACTAAAAAGAAATGTGCTTAAGCATAAGACATTAGCAATGATATAGCAACTGAATTGTGTACAATAAGACCATGGACACATAATATTTGGTCGTTTTTGGTTGGTTTGTTGGATATCATGATCAAACAATATTTTTAACACGTTTAATAATCCAATGTTAATTTATACAAATGGAAATGTTAAATATGTATTAATATACAGTATGAAGAAATTAAGTTTAAAAGTTGCTTTAAAAGTGTTCTTCATTGTTCTTTTGTGTTAGCTATTGATTTAACTAATGTTAGCATACAGTATACTGTAGAACCTTATTGTAATATGATACCAGATCTTTATATTGGCTTTAAACCATTACATGAGGCTTGAAGGGGGGACAAAGTAGGTGACAAATCTGCTGTCAATCTGATCATTTAATCTGGTCATTGGCTTGGCATTGTTCTGTGCCAGAGGTTAGGCTTGGATATGCTTGAAATGGAAATAAAATTTATAATGTGAGAGTTCAAATCACATTTATGTACAGAGACTGTCTTGTTGGCATTCAGCAGGAGATTTGTTTCACCGTTAGTTTCCATTACCCATCAAAATGTTAAGTGAAGCTCTTCAAATGAGAACATCTCTTTTTGAATGGTCTGTTGTGGTTTTAACTTTGACAAACAACTCGTAAAAAAAGAAGGTACTGAATCTCTTTTTCACATGGCTGTGGACAGTGTTTGAGGATGATGAAGTCAAGCCATTCTCCTCTGATGACGTGAAGCAGGGCTGGGATTGATTTTGACAACGGTTTCTTGGCCCTTCTTTGCTGTTCCCTCATTAAAGGTGAGGGCCCTTAGGATTCTGGGAAGGCAATTGTGATTGGCACATGGGTCCATACTGGGAAAGCAGCTGGAATCAATTAATGCATCATAATTTGTCCAAGAGGCTCATGGAGACCCCTCTGAGTCACTTTGGGGACAAGCCACAGTATAGAAACTCCCAAACACCTGCCTGCATCTCACGTAGGACTTTCCCCTTAGCTTTCGACTATGAAAATAATCAGCTGACTTATGAATGAGAGCCACGTTTTTACTTTGAAGAGAGCTCAGGACTTGACAGTTACGTGCACTTGCACTGGCTTGACAGTCCTGTTGGGCGTTGGTCCCCCAATGAATTGGTTCCAGCTTCATACAAAATATTGCTGCCATTAGTCAGCAGAGCTAATCGTCTCCATGCATAAACACCACCTCTGAGGACATCTGTTTTCTCAGGCTTTTTAGCCAAAGATCAGAGGAAATCGTAAAAAGCTGAACTCTTGCATTCCACATCATGTAAAAAAAGACCATCGTTTCACATTTAATACAGTTGTGTTTAATCAGTGAAACTGAATTTGGACCTTCAACGTTTAATCCGAAGCTGCTGCGTTAAACTTTGTTACATTGCGATAAATACAATATTTTAGCCAAATTAGCAAATAGCATGAGACAGAACTTTGGAAAACCAGAGTTCTTGTCGTGACCAAGATGCCTAGCATGGAAAAAGTACAAAAAACCGCTCAGTTTATTTCTGACAAAGAGCCAAAGTTGCTTGCAATGGCCAGATGCTAGACACTGACTAGTGGTTAAAGTATGTTTCCTGATTTGATATACTTCTAGGTATATATTGCAATATAAGTATGTAATTTAAAATCCACCAAAGTCATGGATATTTTGTTCATATTTGCTCTGACCATAGTTTGACTACAGTTTTTTTTTTTTTACTTGTGCTATGCATCATAACATATTACACTTGGTCAATTTGGTTAAACTATTTGTTGTGATTTATCATTACTTTAAAAAAATATGCAACTTAAGACAACTGAAAGTGAAGGGACAATTTACTTTCTCAAGTAGATTGAAAATGTGTATATTATTGTAGCAATTACAATAGATTTTCAGTGGTTCTTGCTAATGTACATGCTCTATGGTATGATCTACTGGACGTTCAGGGCAAAGGACAAAGCGAGCACGTAGTGGTGCGAAATCAGTTAAAGAAAACAGCACTATGGGCCGTGTGTCTGAGATGATTTACTTGGCCTCATTTACTGGTGTTTTCTTTCCAGCCTCATTAGATGTCATTGTTTGCATTTAGCTTTCACACTGAGCACTGCGTTCATTGGCGGGTTTCAGTCCAAGCAAAATGTTGATGATCTTCATTGTATGGGATAGAATAAAAAGTGCTTTGCACTAGGTTAACCCAGTTAATGGCCGAACTCAAAACAGATGCGGTTCTGTGCATCCATTCTGCACCATAACCGATTATACTTGATCTGAAAGACAGGCTTGTTCATGGTTAACACAGAAGAAATACAAAGTCAATCATGAGACATCTCTTCTTTGATAAACTATGGGCACTGCGATGCTGCTTGTATCATGAATTACATAAGCATCTGCCCTTTGAACTGGGGGTGCACTGATGTGGCTAACATTGTGGATGCTTATCCAATGTTTTGCCTGTTTTTCTCATTTTTAGGTTTCTCATGTTTCATTTTCTGTCATTCAAACTTTCAGATACGGAGGTTTGTGACTTTGGCTGGCACAAGTTTCAGAGCCACTGCTATAAGTACTTCACACACCGGCGGACATGGGAAGCAGCGGAAAGAGAGTGTCGTCTGCAGGGCGGTCACCTCACCAGCGTCCTGTCCCATGAAGAGCAGCTCTTTGTTAACCGTGAGTTTATGATTTTATGAATGGTATTGCCAAAGCAGACATCAGTAATTTAATTGCTCACCCTTAATAGTTAATAACTCTTTTACTACTTAACTCTTTTAGTGTTGTACAGATGACGTATATTTGTAGTCCAACCCGGAAGTTCGCATCACCCTGGTTCCCTCGACAAAAACCCAAGATTTTTCCATTGGCTTTTGGATTATTGCCGAAAATAAGTTTATGATTCTTACACGTTTTGTTCATCATGCTAATCTTCACAAATGAACACAACTTGAGTTTGAATAGATTGCAAGAGTGCAATTATAAACACAACGAGGCTGTGAAAGCGAATAGTGAGTAGATGAGTTTTCCTGTTCGGCGTGATGACTTTTAATGTCCACTATAATCTTTGTAGTCTCATTTAGACACTTGTTAGCCACCGCCTTTTTCAAGACAAGTAAAAGCTTTAAAAATAACAAGGGGGTTTTACTGATCTATTTTATGTTGTCGAATAAAACGTGTAAATATCTTGAGCTTGCGTTTTTCACAGACCTTATTTCAGACGTTTAAACAAAAACCCATTCAAAATACCCCGCTGACGTAAGGACTATGGTTCGGAAGTGCTAAAATACAAACTTGCAGGTTTTGGCCATTTGCAGCACTTCATAACAGTGCTCTAAAAACCACAAGAACATTTCAGACATTATATAGCAGTGCTTTTGGCAAATGCCCACAGCAGTGCGTGATGGTAAGATTTGCGCAGGCACATTTTCATCAAATGTAAAAAATGGAGTTTCAAATGAGGCAAAAAACAGATACTCAGGACTAACTGAATTCTAGCATTGACTAAACAAACCATAAGTCATATTAAAAGTGCTGTTGACTCTAAACTAAACAAACGTCTTCTTGGCTCCTCGGGGCACAGAAACTATTTGTTCTACATTTGTTTGTGTCATTTGATGTGTGGTTTGGTTTAACTGATTTCCTGCTATTTCCACTTCAGCCAGGTAGTCTATTAAAGATGTCAAAGAAGTTTGCAAAGGTCCTCACACAAAAAGATTAATGAATTTCTTCCATTTCTCTGGGCCTTCATATAGACTTTTCTATAAAAAATACACATCCACTAGCTTAAAGATGTCTTTTTCTGTTTTATAAAATGCTTTCTCTTTCCAGTTTAATATGCAGAGACAACTATAAGTTGATTGGTTATCCCAAAGAGTATAAACACTGTGGTGCTATCAAAACATTTCTCTGTTTGTTTGAGTTTCCTGACCAGTCTGACACAGCAGTTTGAGTTTGGAGAGGGAACTTTCCATTTTTCCCCACCAGTATGCAGATACAAATAATAGAAATTAGTCAACCACACAACTTGTCCACTTTGTCCCAAGTCATATGATAGTTTGTGTGGACTAGTTTGCAGAGATAGATCCTGAAATCTGTGTAATTGTCTTGTAGGTTTGGGGCATGACTATCAGTGGATTGGACTGAATGATAAAATGTTTGACAGTGATTTCCGCTGGACTGATGGACACCCTATGGTAAGATGGGATTCATTATTTTGATCCTAATAAAATCTGTTTATTAGATGCACGTCTGTGTTCCGGGTGACCATGAATTCAGTGATATGAGTCATTCTTGGTGTGTTGTTTTTTTCCGGCCTGCAAAAAAATTATGTCATTTGATCCTAAAATTAGTGTGAAGCAATTGTGCACACAGATTTTAAAATCACAGTATAAAAATTGCAAGTGCAATTGCTACTCTACCATAAACCCATAAGCTTAGATGATGCTAATGCTAATGGAAAAGTTCTCACTTTAGCATTTCTATCATCCTGTGTGGTATCAAATAGAAACACATAGGTCACCTTAAAGCAGTGGTACTATTTATTTATTTTGTTTTAATTAATTAATTTCTAATAATTGTTTGTTTGGCATTTTTAATTTATTTATTTGGCTGTTTTATTCATTAATGTTTGTTTGTTTGTTTGTTTATTTATTTAAATGGCATAAATCAAAAAAAAATGTGCAAAAGTTTAATATTGCATTTTTATTTCAGCAAGTGGAGTCTAGTTAAAAACATGGGTATTTGACGTTAATTTTGTGCATGATTTTTTTTGACTATTTGCAGTTAATTTGTCACGAATGGAAATGGAAGAGCATTGTGGGATACTGTATATATTTATGAACAATAATCCTACAAATATTGATTTTATGGCCTTGTGTCATCCTGCTTATTTGATATTTATTACAATTTTTTTCTGCCTTTCTACGTATAAAATGGGGCTTGTGTGCAACACATGCAAATTGAGTGCAGCAGTACATTTTGTTCGAATAATGCCATTTTATCAAGGAAAGTCCCATGTAACCCTGCCAGATGTGTATAAAGCACAGTCTATTTAGATTCTTACATGTGATCTTTGCTCCCTCATGTGGGCACATGCAGTGGTGCACGAGCAGTTCGAATAAAACGCCCTTGTATTCTTTTGCACTAGCAATTTGAGAACTGGAGAGTGGGTCAGCCGGACAGCTTCTTCTCCACGGGCGAGGACTGCGTGGTGATGATCTGGCATGAGAACGGTCAGTGGAACGACGTGCCGTGCAATTACCACCTGACCTTCACCTGCAAGAAGGGCACAGGTGAGACCTCATCTTCCTCTTCTTCTAGTCTCCACTGTCGCTTGCTGTCAGCTCATCGTCTTTGGCCTTCTTTTGGCTCTGTCTTAGTGTCCTGCGGTCAGCCTCCTGTCATAAAGGACGCCCATATCTATGGCAGCATGAAGCCGCGCTATGAGATCAACTCTCTGGTCAGGTACCACTGCAAGGACGGCTTCATCCAAAGACACGTTCCCACTATCAGATGCCGAGAAGACGGCCACTGGGACAAGCCCAAAATCACATGCTTGAATCGTAAGTTGCTGGCTCTGAATAAATAGATGTTTAGTGAAATCCAGGCATGAAATTATAATGCCTGGTTATAATAATTTAGTAATTATTTATAATAACATTTTATATATTTATATATAAAACATTTTAAATTCATTTTTATTTTTATATTTTCAGTTTAATTTTAAATATATATATATATATATATATATTATTATTATTTTATTATTATTTTTTTTTCAAAAATTATACATTTTAATAGTTTTAGTTTTAGTGAATGATAACAACACTGATCGTTTGACTGCATTACTTTACTTTTATCAGATGCCGAGAAGACGGCCACTGGGACAAGCCCAAAATCACATGCTTGAATCGTAAGTTGCTGGCTCTGAATAAATAGATGTTTAGTGAAATCCAGGCATGAAATTATAATGCCTGGTTATAATAATTTAGTAATTATTTATAATAACATTTTATATATTTATATATAAAACATTTTAAATTCATTTTTATTTTTATATTTTCAGTTTAATTTTAATTTCAGTTTAAGTTAAGTAGTTTTGTTCTGCTTTTGCCATTTTTATCTTTTTTTATATATATTTCTATAGCTTTATTTGTATATCAGTTTTACTGTAAGTAATTTTAGTGACTTATTTCAGTTAGTTTAAACATTTCAAAATTTCTAATTGTGTAAAGTTGTAAATAAAACAAAGATTATTAGGGAATGTATTACAAGAAAATACTATTTCAGTGTTTTTTTTGTTGTTGTTGTTTTTTTTTACTTCAAAATTTCCTAATGTCTTATTTGCCGGTTCTTTGTAATAATAAGTGAAATTTATTAACAAGAGAAAGTCTCTAGAAAGTGAAAATTGTTTCAAAATAAATCACCAATTTTTTTTTTTCCTTTCCCCAAAATGATAATTTCCATAATGGGGACTGAGTCTGTCAGAATTCAAAAATAACAAAAAGTGTATTTTAAGTCTTCCAAGGCTATACAAAAGTATTTATGTGAGGGGAAATTTAAATTTAAGTCATTATTTACTAAAATATGTGACATATGTTCAAACATGTTGAAATTAATGTCTTACTCAAGACACATTGCAGTATGTTTTCTGTTAAGTTCAAGAAAGAAAGTCATATATGGTTTTGAAAATGAGGGTGAATATATGATGACAATTTTCAATTTTGGGTGAACTATCCTTTTAAGTTAATACATCTTTTCCTTTTATTCTACAGCATCTACCTACCAGATGTATGCACTCAAATATCAAAACAACAACTATTACAACAACAGTAAGAGACACTACAGTGAGTCGACGCAGTACCGTCATCGCTGGTCAAAAACAGCAGATGATTCCACACACTGATCACCATCTCCAGAGCTACAGATGCTTCACATCTACAGAGAAAGTCTTTTGTCTAAAAGGCCGAAGCAAACCATGTGCCTGATGAATGTTTTAGAGCCGAGAAGTGAATTATTACCCTGAGGGACTGCAAAAAACACCATCACCCACCCACTGAGAGTGTACTTTGACTATGCAACAGTCTACATTGCATATTGTAATAATGTCTTAATGTTTTGACATGGGGGTTTCTGGTTGAAATGTATATAGTAGAGATAATGAACAAGTAAAAAGAGCTGTGAAAGGTGACTGTTATTTTTGTATTTTTTTATTCATCCGTAACTTTTGCTTACGAAGAACTGGACTTCCTGTTCTCTCTGGCTTAATAAGAGAGCACTATGGTACGAGCAGAATATAAACAGAACAGTTACAGTACTCAAGAGTAAAAGAACAATAGGCATTATTTTGTTTCACATTGTGGTGAGGGGGGTTCAAAAGGGATGTCACGGGGCTGGAGGACAAACAATGCTGAAAGGACTGCAACTCATGACTGGAAAACAAATCTTCAACATCGTCTTCCTCTGCAGCATCCTCACTAGTTGTGAGGATTACTCAGATAACCATTGTAGGTTACACTCTCATAATCATATTCTCATATGGCATCAAAATACATATTTTCTGCATTTTTAAAAAAAATTTATATGTGGTTTTGTAATATAACCATTTTTACTTTTTTAAATGAATGTCATGGTAAAATATGAAACTATGAATACTGTATGTGTGGTTGAATGAACTAGCATTTTTGTCAAATATTATTACAAATGTTACATAGTAGTTTAATTTATTGCTGAAGATACATATAACGATGAATGAACTGTGAGATTATGAATAATAAAGCGCTATTATAATATTATGAACACGTTTAAACGGTGTGTGTTCTTGTTTTGTAGCATTTCACAAAAATCCCGCCTAAATTCTGACACAAATTGCCAAGCCAATCGGCTTGGTGCTGTGGATGGTCTTGACCAAAAGAGGGCGATGTAACGGTAACGGAGATTTCCGCGCCATCATGAAGATGACATGTGATCGTAATGAACAGACACCTGCTCTGTTTTGACGACTTTCTAGTCGACAAACTCGTTAACGTTAACAAGGTAAGGACGTGGGTGTTTAAAGCTGAACACTGCTCAATGTTCATTTTGAGATTAACTCTATCAAGCTTCTGGTGTGTTTTCTGAGAGACTTTGGCAAGTAAAAGTTTCTTTTTACCTGACCTGAAACACTTAAAATACACAACGACTTTGGCCATCTTTAGTTAAAGACCCATGAAATTGTAGTTTTGTGGCATTCGAACATGTCTGTTAGCTTTTAGGCCAACTTTCTGTATGAGCTAGTCAGTGTATTTATAAAACCGACCAAACTTGTAGCTGCTCCATTTCCTCTGAGAAAACAGTCTAAAATTGGTGACTCTTCTTGATTATTTTTGCACGTTAGGAGTGTATACACCTTTTTGTCCAATAAAATGGTCATTAGAAATATGCCTCCAACTAATACCAGGGAGTATATCCTTGGAAAAAGCTGTCTGTTAGATTTGAGAAAAATCATAATGCTTAATATGGCAGCTATATGCATGGAAGTCCCGCCTTTTCGTTAAAAGGTCTAATTGGCTGTTTATTTACAGTAAACACACAGTTGAATAAGCTGGACAAGCTTTTCTGTTAAGGGGTTGCAGCGATGTTTGTGATACCATCATTGTCAGATTTTGCTGGTTTGAAAGATATGATTAAAATATAACAATTTTAACAGTTTTTTTAGATATGCAACCTTTAGCCTGCTATATGCATAGTCTTGGGCTTTTTATTCTGAGGACATTTTTATAAAGCCAGTCAGTCACCTGATTTCTATTTTCCTTGCAATTTCTTTATTTTGGCAGAGTGTGTGTGTAATGTGACCGACTGTTAAAACTAGACCTCTGTTATTTTTATATAATTTCTCGGTGTGCTTTTCTAAAAACAACCAAAACAAATATGTATTTGACTGATTGTTTATTTTTTGGGTCAAGGGTTTTTCCACATTGATACAGTCAAATTATCCCTTTAATTATACTTTATGTACACAAAACAAGGGTGAAAAATGTTAACATTGCCTATAAAGACATGTCTAAACATTCAATTGAAGTTTTGTAAACAAGGCACATGTACAGTTGCCACAGTCAAAACAAAATGAATAATGAAACGAATGTGAATACTGTATTTTGAAACATCACCGATATTTAGACCTTTGCGTATTTTTCCTTTTTTTTTTTTTCCGTTTTTGGTGGAGCCGGTCATTTAATGTAGTGGCTAAAACTCATGACCTTGAGTTCTAAACTGCCTGTGTTGACCCTAATGGTAATGATAACAAGAATAAACCATCAAGTTTTTTGTCTTAGCTTGGCAGTCTGTTTTAATGGTTTGTTTCCGAATGCCATGGCTTTGACATGTTTTTCTGAAGGTCTACTGCTTCACAGACAAATAACGACTGAATGCAGCATGCTAACTATGCACTTTTTTTTGTTGTGCCATTATTTTTTGCGTCATCTTTGAGTACACCTTTTCCTGCAAGGTCTTTTTTTTTTTTTCAACAATAGAAAATTAAGTTCATTGTGCTGTTTTTCTTTTACTAAGTAACACAACGTGATCATTACCACTGTTGTCTTTTTAACCACTTCTGTCTTGCTATTTGTAAACAGTAACATGCATAGACTAAAGCTACTCATCCCATGTGCTGGAAACTGGGCTGTGTGCTTTCTTTCACACAACTTCCTCTAGTAAACAAATTTTTATTAACATTTTTGTATTAACATTTGGCAACATTGCCACGGGCTATGTTTGAGGATAGGTTTTCTGTGGTTTCATGAATTGATCAGAAATACTAAATAAGTTCTAGAAAACAAACCAAGATTTACTTGATGTAAACAATGGTTTTGTTATAATGTCTGTGGTATGAACCACAGATTTCTTCATCGTCCTGAACACAAAGAAAGTTTGACAGTGATGAGGTCAATACAGTGGAGCTCTGAATTTCTTACATTGCGTCTTAGGGGAGACATTGTATAAACACATAGGCTAGTTTCAAGAAAAAGATAATTAACATACATTTATAAACACTCTACTTGTATATTTCAATAGTTTAAAAAAAATCACAGAACAATGCGACTTATGACTCAACATGGTTTGGTCCACACGTAAAACTAAATTTAAAAAGGTATGCTTTTAGAAAATAATACAATATAGCACCCTGTAAGGATGGCAAAAGAAAAAGTTGTTCATTGTGCTATGGCTGTACTGTATGGTGTTTAGCACTTTCGTTGAATTTGTTTTCCTATTAACAGAAAATATATTTTTCACATGCTATTTATATGGGATATGATGTGCTTGAATGATAAACTAAGTGCCCAAAGGTATCAGTTCAAAGTATGTAAGCTTTGCTGTCATTCTGTTCTAGAACATCCCTCAAGCTACTGCATGCTAAATGGAAGAGCACAGTGTGAATTTCTTCTGCAGTCTCACCAAATATCTCTTCCTTCAGCACTGCTGTACTGTATAAGATCATTCAGACCTGGAACCAGTAGCTATAATTTCTGCGGCACCCAATGAATACTATTCCTGTCCTGTTGCCGTCTTGTAGCGAAGTCCTGATTTTGAGGGAAGAGTGTGCCTGAGGTGCCTAATTCTACAGAATCTTTGCTTCAAACAAACACCAGTCACTTATTTTATATTTAAATCCTTCTGTATTACAGTATCTAGAGACTTTGTCACAGTTTTAATGCACTCGAACTAACTCCTTACATTATTACGCTTAGTTCTTGAGTTGTACAGTTGGTATGCTCAGTTGTCGCTCTTGTAGCAGTAGACGCCGTAGAGTTTGTGCTTCTTGTCTGGAAATCCAGAGAAGCGGACGGCGGCCTCCGTGGGACTGCAGCGTCTGCGTGGTCTTGAGATTGGGTAGCGTACACTGCCGTCCGCTAGCCAGCCTGCATCGCAGCGGTCATAGCCCAGGAGCTTCCATGCTGCGTACATCTGCCCGACTTTGGCGATCTGAGCGCCGTCCTTTTGACATGCCCGCACTGCCTCATCATACGTAAGTTTGAAAGGGTGTATCAAATAATAGAAACGTCCTGGAGAAGAGAAAGGGGAAAGGCCTTTACTCTCAAATAATATGCAGTAAGGATATTAAACAAGGAGATTCTTTGCATGGCTGAACTCAATTTGTTTTTTCCTTTCATAAATTATGTATCACATCAATTGCTCCACTTTTTGGAGAAGCTAGCCCATTTCAAATGCCTTTCATCAAACAGTGGGGAGGACAAACCTTTGTGGTTAGAGGAGAAACAGAAGACATCATATCTTTCCTTTTGCTTGTCACGCATCCCATAATTCCTCACACCAGGAATGGTGTTTTTGCCTCCACATGGCTCTCTGGGTTTGGTGATGGGGTATTGTACCGATCCATCATTGAGCCACCCTGCATTGCACCAATCCAACCCGTCTCTCCATGCATCGTACAGCTGGTCGAAAGATGCCACAATGGCATCCTGGTCTCTGCAAGCTTTCTCAGCATCAGCGAAGTTCAGGTTGTAACGACCCAGTCGAGGAAAATATGGGAACACAATGCCTGTAGGACCCCGAAGAGCCAAAAAAGGTATAAAAATGGCATTTTTGCATAATAGAAATCCTTAAAATGGTCTCTGATTAGAAAAGAATCTGTGTAATCTGGCGATAATGAAATTCCAAATTAATTTCTCCAATGCTTCATCTAAAGTGAATTAAAATTTTGATTTATTGCATGCAACTAAAATGATGCCAAGAATGCTGACAGCAAGGACCAAATAAATGTCCCATTATTTGGCCATGATAGCTTTTATGTCAGGATCTTACTGATGGTCTAGAATTATAAGTTGTTCTACTCTGCATTATAAGACTATTGAATAGTGTTTACATTGCGCACACAGTGTGAAGAGAGTCAGCACAATGCTATCTCATAGATAATTGCCTTGAGGAACAGCCAAGGATGCATAAACGGTGTATAGAGTTATGTGTAATATTCCGGAAAAAACAACCCAGTCTTACAATGGTAGTGTGTTGCTGTAGCAATGTTTTTTTATCCATGTGGCCATTTTGTAGAGTTTCTTAAAAACTTGAAGTTATCATGTTTGAAGGAAGCAGAATATGTACACAAAATATTAATATAACCAAATGACAACTGTCAAAGACATGGTTTTAGTAAAGATTATTGTTGGGTGCTGGCCTACATGGTAGACGTGCCTAGTCATGTTGTTCACCAGCACAACTTAGCTGATTAAACTGTTTGACCCATGAAATCTTGCAAGTCAATAGTTTTAAAACATGGTAGTGACACTACCACACCAGCATCTAAATTTTCATAAACAAAATTAAAACAGCCTGTGAGACATTGTGGTGGTGCATGGCTAAATGTTGCTAGAGGGACCAGGAAAGATATGTTAGCAACATAAATCTATGCTTTACCTTCCAGGTCAAGGGATACAACTGCTGTATCATCCTCCAAGCCATCGATGACTTCACACTTGTATTTCCCATAATCCTCCAGAGTGATGTCAGTGATAACTAATGAGGCATCATTCTCGCTGGCAGCCTGCAGGTGTACACGGCCGTGGAATCGACCATAGCTCTTTTTGTGGAAGCCCATGGCTACAAACACATCAATTTCCTTCAGATAGTCTGAAGTCAGTTTAGTCCATTTAATCCTCATCTTGGGATTTGGGGGAGATGAGGGATCCCGGTTGAACTTGCATTGCAGTGTGGCATTGCCTCCACGTTGAGAGATTACTTTGGGTTGTGCTGTGTCAGCTGAGAGTCTGGGGCCATTTTCTAAAAGTCAGAGAAAGAGATATTCAGATTTTCAGTCAAAGAAGTAAACAAAATAATAATGTAGATTGAGTTAATAGCCTTTGATCTGTTTTTTTTTTATTTGTCAGTCAAAGAAATAAACAAAATAAGAATGCAGATTGCGACCAAGTTAATAGCCTTTGTTCTGAATTTTTTGTCCCAAGGCCTGTTGCATTGGTTAGTGTTCAATAACTTAAGGCGTTTCACAAAGATGATAGCTTGAATTTATCCTTGTCTATTGCTACAGGCTGTTGTGGTTATGCAAACACACAAATCATCATGTTTGTTAGATTTCAGAGAAGTGGAAACTCCCCTACATGTTTATGACAGAAACTTAAGAGTGACTGTGTATGCTCTTCCAATGAAGGCAGTGTCCCCGTCACTATACTGGGGCGCTAGGACCCACATATACCACAGGGTGAGCACCCCCCTGCTGGCCTCACTAACACCTCTTCCAGCAGCAACCTAGTTTTCCAAGGAGGTCTCCCATCCAGGTACTGACCAGGCTCAACCCTGCTTAGCTTCAGTGGGTGACCAGACAAGAGCTGCTGGTTAAATTAAATGTTAGAGGAATTTGTATGTCTAAATAAAACTCTCCCATACTCTTCCTCATTACCAGGCTGAAGAATGATGAAATCTCAAAGTCAAATAACCTGAGTTAAGACTTGGGATTGTCAAGTTCTCAACAACACTCTGTTGAAAAACGGAAAGTTATCCAATCAACCAAGACACGCTGCAGCTAAACTCCAGTTAAATTCAACTTATGCTACAGGAATGCTTCTTTGTCAAAACTTTGTCAAAACCAAAATTAAATACAGGCACTGGCACAGTGTACAAACCAGGTGTGATGCAACAAGTTTCCATCTTTAAAAATGTGCAAGAATGCATGGGATTATCAGATTTTTGAACCAATGTGATTTCACTGGGGGCTACTTAGCGTGACCCCAAAAAATAAATAAGTGATTGAATCCAAGCTACCAAGTCTTGTTGTGCATTTGATGTGACTGATTGGGTCAAAACAGATTAGCATTGCAGAGGTAGTTGTTATCACTTGTCCTTGTATCATTCCTGGCCAGGGCACAGTGTGTTGTTTTTATACTAATTAATACTTACTATATAGATGTTCACACAAACTAAAAACTTGTTTATTTTGCAGATACGGTCGGGGAGGCTGATATACTACTATAATCAGATATCAGCATGAAAAAATACTGAACCCCAATAGCTTATCAAATATTTAACACTTGTAGTAAGTAATTCCAGCCACTTTGCATTCTGTGACAGGAGCCAGAGGGTTTCGAATCACCTAAGCCAACACCCAGTGAGATAATTACGGTAAGTGTCCCTGTTAAGAAATGCTGGAGGGGGAAGCACCATTTAGGGGATGGGCAGTACAACCCCCTCTCTATCTCTCTGTCTCTCGCTTTCTCCTGATCCTCTTCACCCTCTTTCTACAATTTCCTCTCATACACAATCACAAACACATCTTTTCCCATCTCTTACCTGAGATGTATATAGTCCTGTAGTGTTCCAGGTCACTGTATGCCTCTTCAAAGCTGTCAGCTCGGCTCTTGGAAAGGACCAAGAGGAAGAAAAGAAGGAAGGTCATCTTGATTTATTGCACCGGTGGGGGGGTAGGGGGTACTTCACTACATGAGAGAACACAACAATAAGGGACAGTCATACAATATGCATTTAACAAAACCATTTATCTACTGTACATCCAATCCAGGAAGGAGACATTCTTTAGAGTTACATTATCAGGCTTTACTAAAACAATCTCAAGTCGTTTTCTGTGGAGTTTGTGAGAGAGTTCAGTTTTGTGTGACTTGCACCAGATCCCCTGCACATTTCCATCTGCAGTAACTCCCCTGTGCAGTACTGTCACGCAGACATCAGCGCACACTGTGTCCTTTTCACCACATCTCCCAGAAAGACACTCATGCAAGGTACATAAATAAATGACTAAGACTGTTAAACTTTTTACGCATGCATAAATCCCAATTAACACCAGTGCAATCCGAACGCCATTGCTGCAGGACTTCCTTTAACCTTCACCTAAAGAGGCACTGAAGTGAGAGAAAAGTGCAGTCGAGATGCTCGCTATGGCACAAACTAGCACAAAACTTTGCTGGCACACTTCTAAAGCACAGATTGCCTCCCTACAGACTCGGAGCTCAGAAAAGACTTACCATCTTACAGAGCGTGTCCCGGCCACTAGCGCATGTGAGGACAGCTACGCAAAAGATCAGGATTAGAAAGTGTGTAGAGTCTTCTCTCCCTCTCTCTCTCTCTGCAGTCACTCTGATTGATTCGTTTTTTTTCTTCATTCATTTCAGAGTGCTGACGCACTGAGGTAGTTCCTCTCTACTGCAGTCAGCAGAACTGCTCTGCAGAGTAGCCAACCCCCCCAGACCCAGCCTGCAAACAGTCATTACGCATACCAGGAAGCCACCGCTGATAACAGTGAGGACTCACAGATGCAGTGCCCTCTCCTGTGACAGATAAGTTACCACAGTACAGTGAGCTTGCTCAACTGTGACAAGGTAAAATCATATCCTGCAGGAGAAGGATAACAAGTCCTCTGTTGCGAAATGGACAAAATACAATCCAAAAGATCTCCAGTAATTGTAGGATGCTGCATTGGTCTGCTATGCTAAATTGTTAAAGCTGAAAGAATTTGTTCCCACCCAAATGACCCTAAGGCCTTTTTAAGTGTAACGACTCTCAAACATGCTCTGTTTTGCAGGCTGACGGTTAACCAAACACAGACCGTTGACTCTTAGCCACACTAACTGTGCTGTTGACAGAGAACACTGTTACCAATCACATTCCTTTGTGACACTCCATTGTGTACAGTAAGGTCAAGCGCAGGGAAAACAAGCCATGCCTTTAGTTTTCAAATGTGGGTAAACGTCCTAAACGCATAGACTGCAGTTGATCAGAAAACAGCAATGGTTTAGAAACAGTGCCAGACCACTAGCTAATTCACAAAAGCATCACAAGAATCTTAGTCTTGCACAACTTAAGAACTTATCTTCTGGGAAGAGGCACCAACTCTGTAACTGGGGTGAAAAGTCTCCTGTTGTTGACATCTCTTGCTGCCAGGAAATGGTTACAACTTTGATTGTTGAATTTGCTTAAAGACAATCCAGTGTAAACAGTGACTCAATACTCTGATGTTCTTAACCTTGTACTCCTCTTGTTTTTGGACATTTAAGCTAGGTTGCCGTTACCGCCTTAACATTAAATCCTAATCTTTGTGATAAACATCAAATGAAGCTGCCAATGCTTAACAATGCCAATTTTTGAGTAGTCATGCTCAAGGTCTTTAAGCAGTATAATAGTTGCTTGACCAGGTCACTTGCAGACACTTGGTGCAGTGGAATATGAGTGGATAAGCATGGCATAATTTGCGAAGAAAATAAATTACTTGTCAACGAGTTGAAGTCTGGGACAGGTCCTGATTAAACATGCTTGTTTAACTCAAGCACAGATTTTCCCAGCAGGTCTGCAGACTTTCCAATCCTCATTTGGAAATCCCTTTTGCAAGACCCAAACTTTTTGTTTGTTATACCTTTTTTTACTGAATGATGTAAAGTGTTTAGTTAACTGGGCTTTTTAGTAAGTATCTATTAGTGTCCTTTTAAAGTGATGTTTGATAGCAGTGGCTCTGAAATTAACTTCCCTGATGTAAATAGTACTTTTTAATGCACTGGGTTTAGCTCATAAATGACCAATTTCAAAGATATGAAAACATTAGTGTTTTTGAATTGAACTAAATATTTACATTCTTCCCTTAGAACTTTTGTTAGTAGAAGCCTTTTGCTAGATGATAAAAAATATCGCTAGACACACTGAAGGTCTGGAGACTATACGCACAACTTGACAATATACACATTTTGACTACACAATGGTCATTGGAAATGGAGTCGACATAGCTTGGGGGGTCATTTTATTATGTCACTTCCCAACAACTCCTACTGGTTCCTGAGCAGCTGTGAAGCTCAGGGAGATTATGGATCCATTTTGGTCAGAACCTCATTTTCCTTTGACCCCATTACCTAATGTGCCAAAACATAATCCCTTAAGTGGTTGATTTGAGTAGTCATTGCCGATACTATAGGCCAGGGTTCCTCAAATCTTGCCCTGGAGGGCCAATGCGCTGCAGAGTTTAGCTCCAACCCTGATCAAACTCACCTACCTGTGATTTTCTTATGATCCTGAAGACACTGATTAGCATGCTCAGGTGTGTTTGATTAGGGTTAGAGCTAAACTCTGCAGGAAAGTGGATCTCGTGGGCCAGATTTGAGGATCCCTGCTATAGGTTATTTCCTTTCCTTGTTTGGCAGTAGATCTCCAGACGTGATAGCGGTTGTCTCTCTCTCGTTCATTCATTCACCAAGTGCCAAACAAATATATAGATTCCAGTGATCATGCATTACGCTAGTCGACTTGATTTCTACAAATGTGTTCTTTCAGAAACCTTTGCTAAGTATAATGCCATTTGGTCATAATAAAAAGAAATGCATTTATATAATTGATGGACCAATATATAGGCCTATCAGCCAGACGGATTAATCTGTCAATATTTGGCCCTTTTAATTAAGATCTGACCTATACTTAAAGAACAGAGATGTCCGTTAGAGATTCTGATAACACCTGATAGCAGTATCAGAGAGTATGCTCTAATTTCAGTGTGAGATGAATGTATGCACAGGTTAGATGAGGATTTGTCTGTAATGTGCTTGTTAAATGGGTTAATTATTCTTGTCAGGAAATGCAGACATAATTGAACGGCTTAAGGTGGTAAACCTACTGAGTCCACAGTAGACCTGTGCAGATGGCAGTGGTGATTTTCAGGTGAATGCAAAAACAGTTCAACACAAATAGATGCAGTGTAAACCTGTGATTTCAATGACTCATGTTTAAAGCTTACATTTGATTCTACAAAGCACACATTAACCCTTAATCTACATAACATCAGTAAGAGGACTGTTTCCATCCTTCAAACGATTCACTGTCTTTGAAGGCCACGGCTTCTCTCTTCACATTAGACTGATGACAGTGTATGAATGGGATCCTAAAGCCTCTCATTTACAGTGAGATCAGACTTATTTCCACTTTCTGTCACTCGCACAGGTCCTGCTCAAAATAAAGTCCTGTTTAAATTACTGAGGGGACAGTTTTACGCAAAATTTAAATTTAGTCCTGAGGAAGCAGTTTGAACTTTACCTCTTAAATCCCGAATTAGCATTGCAAACGTTTGTGGATGAAACTCTTATTGAAATCACTACTATATCCTACAGTCGGTTGTTATAAGATACATGTAGTTATAGTAAGATATCTGTCTTAGAGCCACAATGAATTCGGATTTTGTATGTTTTTAGAGATATAAATTCTGGCAGTAATTTCAAAATATTTATACAATTATTCAGACCTTGCAATTCTTAAATAACTCTTACCTAAAGCATGTTAAATGTAATTTAAATTTCGAATGTAATGAAATACTGTGTAGATTTGATGTTTTCAGGCAACAATGATTGTATTTTCTGCTACAACTTGTGCTTTTAATTTTCCAGACAAATTAACTATAAGTATTTCTAAAGAGTGCCGAAAGACCTACTGACACTTCTGGAGATGTAGTGCTCTAACATGCCTAAGACTGGCCCCATTGACGGGGTAATTGGATGGGCCATTATGCAGTCTTCGGCATCCACAGCACCACTCCCAAAACCTTAAAGAGCCATGTCACAACATCTAAAATCTTTCCATGTGTTTTCTCTAGGGGTCAGGCGTGTGTTTGACCTCCACTCAAGCACTCGGTAAAGGGAGTTCATTTCATGGACTCTGTTCTTAAGTCAAATCCATTTGTTACAGGTGCCATATGCTGCATATTTGTCTTAAAGTTTATTACTACCCATAGATTCTCTAGGGGTCAGGCGTGTGTTTGACCTCCACTCAAGCACTCGGTAAAGGGAGTTCATTTCATGGACTCTGTTCTTAAGTCAAATCCATTTGTTACAGGTGCCATATGCTGCATATTTGTCTTAAAGTTTATTACTACACATAGACCATGGTATGTAGCATTTTTTTTTTTTTTTTTTACATTCTGTGAATCAGACAAATAATGGACCTTGAAAACAAAAAATCATTCATTATTTATTCACCTTCATGTTGTTACAAACTTGCATGAGTGGAATTTGAATGCCATGATGGTAAGTGAGATTCTATTATATGTATATGTATTGTGTTCTGGTTTATAGAGTGGGGTTAAATAGAGTTCCTCGAACTCTATGAAAACATATTCTAATGTTTCACTTTTTTGAGAAAAAATATGCAAAGGTCAGAAAACAGTTCAGCCATTCATAATGAACAATAAGGAGATGCTCTGTTCTGAATACAAAGTCTTTCTGAGTTCCAACTATTTTGTGCTTTGTGGCAAATGACTGAGAAATGTTTTTTTTTTATTTTTTTAAGAAAACTGAATAATTTGTACACAATGTATGAAGTTATCCATTTTATCACATGTTCTCTTCTGTGGATTGTCAGATGAACATACTAATTGTAAGGTCATCTTTATAAAGATGCACTAAGCATTTTTTTTCCACTGATACGCCAGTGGTCTTGGATGTTATACTGACACCTACTGGTGATGATGCAGTTTCACGCAAACTTTTTTGGTTACTAATGCCATTTTAGATCCTATTTACAAGTGTAGTTAGCTGGTCATGTGATCTTGACATGGCAGCCAATTAAACAACTGGTCTAAGCCACTGATATGATTGCAGTCCTCATCTTGTGTGAGTGTAAATCATTGGGGGCCAAACAACGAAGGTACATTTTTTTTATTACTATATCAATTTCTGCTACATTTGTGAACATAGTTTTTCAAGCCTGTTCTACAGCATTCATTGATGTCTTCCCACAATTTGTGTGCCACACTGGTCAGAAATTTGTTGTGGCTTTTTTCTTATATCAAACTGTTTGCTTGCACCTATACAACAATGGATTTTTGATGGCAGGGACACAAAACAGAATGATTATCCTAAAATGTGTAAGTCTGCTATACTGTGGCCCCTTGGGTTTCGCTTAAGTATTTCTGCCTGCAGCTATATTTTTAAATATTTTTGGCAAGTTATAAATGCAATATTTTAAGTGGAGAAAAACTTACTGCATCTTTAAAGTTGCATTAGCTTCATTCACATGTCATTAATTTAATGGCGGGGGAGAACGCCAGATGTGTAAATATAACCTTTTCATTCAACTTGTACATGCTCCTTACTGTTCTCTAAGTATGTTCCATGTTCATTTAAGACAATGTACCTCCTATTCATAGACTCCAGCATGAGGAAGGGCTCTGTGCTCAGTGAATAAAGAGCCTTGGTGTGTTAACAGCAGTGCTCATACCGGCTCAAAAGGTGGACTCGGGAG